TGAATGAACTGGATTGGGAGAGGTAGCGGTAAGGAGGACTCTGGGTTTTTGGCCTGAGCAACTGGAAAGAGGAAGCTGCTGCTTCCTAAGATGAAGAGAACTGCAGGAGGGGCTGGCGCTCTGGGGTGTCTGAGTCTGAGATGCTTATTCAAAATCTACACTATAAATATCAGTATTCTGAGAAAGAGGTTGCTTGAAAAAGGGTTCCTCTAAAAATAAAATTTTAAAAACCTCCATAGCAGAAATTAAATACTTAAATAAATAATGAACTAACTGAATCGAGATTAGAGGTGGAGTAAGAACAGAGAATGGAAAAGTTCGTGAAAAAGATCAAAAGCAAAAATGAATTGCGTTGTGTCACTATAATATTCTTGGTGAAGCAGGCAGCTTTAGACGTAATCAGATAAAATATTTTTTAAATCAACAATTTAGTTAACCTACAGAATCTCAGGTTTCCACAATGGGGCCCCAAAATTTTCAGGGTAAATATGCTAGCACATTAAATCAGGCCTAATATGCAGTTTGTAGGTCATTCTCCTAATTCTACTATGATGACTATTAGGATGGTCTAGAAAGGAAAAGAAAATCTACAACTGTTAAAGATCTAAAAATCTCTAAATTAAACCAAAACAAAGGGAGTAAATCCTAACTGGGTACAGGTAAGGAAAGAAATATGGCTTACTATGGGTCTCAAAAGGGATTAAGATTATACAGAATACCTTAAAAATCTAAAGCCGCAGTGCTCACTAAGGTACCTGATCCTCTTTTCCTACTGTGACTAAATGAACCACCATCTCCCCCACTCCCATGTCAGACGCATTTCTGCCTAACCACACAGTAACAAGCCGACTACAGATATTAGAAACATCCCGTAAAAGCTCATAATTGAGAAATGATTTTGATACGAAAGTACCTAAATCTTTGGACTGACAATTCATTGGAAGCAGTCACACACTTACCAAGATATATACACCCAAAGCCACCTTGGCCAATGGGTAATCCCAGTTTCCACTCCTTTTTTGACATGTCGGTGATTATCTCCCCAGCCGCAAACTGTTCTGCAAGACGTCTCTTTCCGGGGCCCTGCCTTCCGGCCTGAGCTGCTTTCACACGAGGCATTCTCCCTGTAACGTAAAAGAAAGCAACATCAGACTTACAATACTGGAAGTGCTCAAAACGTTTTTCACCGAGGAAAGCTTCTGTGCAACACAGATGCTGATCAAGTTCCTACTCACGCTGAAACTTAAAGGACATCTGTTCTAATTTATAATCTCATTTGATTATCTCTTAATTTGGAGAGGAAATAATAAATAATATATGCGATTACTTTCGAGAAAACATTTAGTCTTAAGTTCCAGTAGTAGAATATCATCTATGACTAAAAATGCTATTTAGCAACAAAAACAAAACAGAAGCGCTCTATGAAGTTGAGGGGGAAAGTGCATCCAATTAGAATGCATACTGCACCGTAAAAACGATGAGTGTATAAAGGTCGACACTGATGTGATAAGAGCACAGCACAGAGATTGAAAACACAAGACAATTAACACGACGGGAAAGGGAACGATTTTTCTGAACTTAAAAAAAAAATATGAAGCTACACAATGAAAGGTCACACCACGTACATAAATCAACCCGGGATAAGTACCGCTAAGACGAAGCCTAGTTAAATTACTCCACTTAACAGTATAATACTCTTTGAGCACCCAGAACAAAACAATGATACAAGGAAAACAAAATCAGATTGCCATCACTTTGACAGCAACACTTTATGCCAGGAAAAAAAGTAACGTATTTAAGACTCAAGGAAAGAAAACATAAACAGAAGATTTTATATTTAGTTAAATTTCGAGTATAAAGACTTCAAAGTGTTATCAACATGGAAAAAGGGAGTGACAATCTACCAGAAAACAAGCTGCAGATATCCAAAATGACTAAGATAAGAACTGATAATGAGCAGTAAAGAGATATTTATTTGTAGAACCTTAGACTCAACAAAAGGCTTTAGAGGATAAAACACATAATCGGTATATATTCTGATAATGCAGATATGGTAGAACTGTAAAAAAAAATTGGAGAACATATGCAAAAAAAGTAACTTTCCATTCTGATACCTGTTTATTAACTAAGGCTACTGAATGCATAAATGTAGAATAATGCAAGTGAGTAATTATGTGACATCTGAATTCTACCATCGCTTTGTATCCTTAAAAATCAGGATTCAAATATGGAAGAAAGGGAATACAGAGGAAAAACAAAAGACTTAAGGTGAAAAATGTTGTACATTTGGAAATATTTTTAATTCAGAAGGCATTTTATCTTTTACAAAGACCACACACACACACACACACACACACACACACACACACACCTCCTTTGTATTTCCTAGCCCCATTCACAAAAAAGCTTAGGAACCACAACCAGCCCAGAAGCAATGAGCATTCCTGGTATACAAATTGTATTCTTGAAATAACCATTTCTTGTTCAAAGAAACCAGGTTCCTTGAAGAAACAACTGATTACAGGTCTGGAACTGGAAATACAAGCTCGACCTGGAACATCTTTTCATTTCTAGATGTCAAGGAAGCTATCAAAAACTACTGGAGTTACGTCAAATATGTGTAAGGAGCCAGCGTGAAAGATATGCCCACTGACCAAAGACTGGCCAATGTGATCATGAAAGATAATAACCACAGTGGATTAAACCACATAAAATGGATAAATCTAAGAGCTTAAAACTGTAAGAAAACCTAAGTGGTCACCTTTAGAGGATAAGAGAAAACCACTGAATTTTGAAGTGGTAAATAAAGGGAAAGAATCAAGCATTTATCCTTTTTACATGAATTATACCACTGGATAATCAAATAGAAGATGAAGAGAAATGTCTCCTTACAGAAAATTTGCAGCTAATGAATGACTAAGAATGGTTTAGGTTAACACCATTTCTACCTCCTGATGAATTAATAAATCCAGACACTGAGCACTGATAGCTACTAACATCAAAATATGAGCGGTATCAAGGTATTACGTGCCTTCTGATAAAAGAACACACCACAACCCATGAAGTAATTTTGCCAAAAAAGAAGTAAAAAATAAACAGACCCTGAATCTTGTCAAGCCTACCCATTTATGGGCTATGAAGAGAACAGAAGAACATGACAAACTGTAACACAGGAAAGCAGTCAGCACAATCCCAACTGTGGGAAACCATACAGTACATATAATCTGATTTCTTCAACAAAGAATAAAAAGAAAAGATGGAGAAAACTAGATTTTAATAGACTTAAAGCAATATATCTAAAACAAAACAAAGTCAGGCAAATCTAAACTACAGTGTTTAGGAATGCCATTTGAGTAATAAAATTGTAAGAAAATGGAAATAACTACCATAAAAGATAAAAATTACTTTGGAGAAGTACATGAAAGTTGTAATTAGGATGGACACATGGCAGGCAAAGTTCTCTTTCTTGGTATGTGTTGTTGTTATACAAGTACCTTATAAGTCATTAAGTATTTGCTTTATAAGGTTTTCTGTATTATGAAGTATTTTATGGTTTTAAACATGAAAAATTACTGTTCCTATAAGTAATGATCACCAACGGATCAAAACTAGAAATCTTTTCATATTCCATGAGGTTGTCCATTCACGCAAAATGGGAAAAAAAAAAGCCCCCTAAGTAAAATCCGTACTTCATTTCCTGTGTGAACCACTGGTAGCCTTTTGCTTCTTAATTCAGAGGCACTTCTTATATACTATATTACAGAAACTGGCTTTGTATTACAAATAGTCTTCCCGATTTACTTCTTTCAATATTGTTTATTCTGAGCTTTTGGATTTTACATCACCCTTAGAAAGACTTCGCCCATTCAAATTTTTTCAAATATCTCCCATGTTTTCTTTTAGTTGTTTTATGGTTTCATATTTTGCTGGAGAAGTTTTGATCTGTCTACACTTGCATTGGTATAAGGTAAGAATCTAGCTTTTTCCGAATGCTTATCTGGTTCTGGTTTTCGTTTACTTTTTCCTTTCCTCAGTCACTCACACACGTTAAGGCAATCCACACCGTTCCAGGAACTTAAATAGTCATGCCACCAACCCGAGTGAAATAATACAAACAAAGTTCACACAAAGGTGTTCCGTGTAGGTACTAGATGACCAGTTTCTTTTCAAACAAACGAAAAAAGAAAAAAATAGGTTCATTAGCATTTGAAACTAACTATATGCTCGGGTGAAAACCTCCCTCACACTTGGTGGGCTCCACACGAATGTGAAGAAGTCACTTCAACACACTCTGGTGCTCTGACAGGAAGAGGCCATGAAAACCCAAACACTTCTTTAAAATGTCCCTAAGTGACACTCCATTCTTCCTGTGGCTTCTCATGGGAAAAGATGCATAGACCTCCCTTCCGTAGCCCCTCCAGTCTCAGGCAGGGCTGAGGGACCAACAGCCACATCAGTGCTAACGAGCTGGCTTCTGCTGGGTGCCGGACCGGTGATGGCAGCAGATTAATAAACAAACAAGGGGTCAAATAACACATCCTTTAAAATGCTGAGAGACATAAAAGACCTAAGCAAGTTCGGCCAGTATGCCACATACTCGTAACAGGGCAATTTAACACAGTAACCGTTCCCTTAAAAAAAAAAAAAAAAAATCATACCTAACAACAGTTGATTCTTACAGCGTGCTGCTGGATTCTATTTGCTAATATTTGATTTAGGAATAAAATTGATATCCTAAGTAAGACTGGTCTGCAGTGTTTTTCTACTACATTTATCTGTTCTATCAACATTACACTCACTTCATAAAGACTTTAGCTTTTCTTCTTTTACAACATAAAGAGTTTAAACAGCATCTAAATGATCCAGTCCTTATAGGTTTTGAAGACCTCAACTGGGAAAGCCTGACTGACCATACCGAGAGTGGCGACGCCAGGAGTGACAATACCATGAGGACATGGAACAAATGGAGTTCTCACACGCGGTACACCGCTTCAACCGCTTCTGAAAATCTGTTTGTCAGTAGCTGCTAACTGACCCAATCATTCCTCTTCTACTTATCTACCTAAGAGAAATGAAAACAAGTCCACCAAAAAACACATAAAAGAATGATAATAGCAGCTTTATTCAAAATAGCCAGACAATGGAAACTCACATGTCCAACAACAGAAAAATATGTATAATGAAATGGATGAACCCCCCAAACGCTGTGTTTAGAAAAAGAAGTCAGACACAAGAAACATACTGTACGACTCCATGTATACGAAGTGTAATAACACACAAAACTAACCCAGGATGACGGAAGTCAAACAGCGGACGCCGCTGGGGGAGGAGTGAGGCCTGGGAGAGGAAGGGTTCCGGGGGCTGGGTGCGTTCTCAGTCCCACCCTCAGTGATCTTTAAACCGCGTGTTCACTTCGCAAGAATTACTCAGGTTGTGCGCTTCTGATTTACTTCACTGTTCTTTACTTACGTAAATTTAACACAATAAATTACACACAGTGTACGTGATAAGACAGCCAGGGTCCAGACAGCAGATAAAAATACACACGTAACTTAGACAGGAAAATATTAAAACTTATCTATTTGTAAAAGGTGGTTGACTACCAAAGGGGGTGAAGGAGAACTCTACGGGACACGGCAAACACAGGGAACGGTTACTACCTACAAGGCTAAGGGAGACCACGCAAGAAAGGCGCTCTGCGCTGCACAGGCTGTGGCCACGGCCGCTGGGAGGCAGCGTCCTCCGGGGTCCACAGGAATCTGCCCGCTGGGGTACTGGTGGGATACGAGAAGCTGCCTGCTGGGGTGCCAAAGACCGTCAAGAGAGTGAGCCTGGCCGGCAGCCACCCCCGCCCCCCGAGAGGGAGGAGACACCCAGCACACCTCAAAACGAGAAGCCCCTTCCCCACTCTGCTCTGCAGTGTGCCACCCCCACTCTCTACTGACAGAACCTAACACTGTGCTGGACAGGAAAAGAACGCTTACAGGGCCTCGCTTGACTATCACGAGCAGAGCAAAGAAAGGTGGGTTTGGAGTTGAGAAGCTGTTGATAACCCGCACAAGCGAAAACGCAGACTGATCAATCTGACATGTGCACATCATACACCTCAGCAACGACCACGTGC